AGACGCACACCACTATATGAATTGGGAGTTTGGGATTAATAGACGCACGCCGCTATATCAATCGGGAGTTTGGGATTAACAGACGCACACCAGTATATACAAAACTGCTAAGCAGCAAGGTCCTACCGTGGAGCCCAGGGAGCCGTGCTCAATATCTTGTAACAACCGATGATGGAAAAGAACCTGAAAAGGGGTACCCATGTAGGTGTAACTGAATCACTTGCTGTACACCTGAGCAGTTGTGAATCAACTATGTTTCAATAATACATAAATAAAATAATGGTGATAGGCATGAACTCTTGCATAAATCACATGCTGCACCAAACCTGCTTCATTCACATGCATCCTGTGCTTATCATCAGCATCTTATAAGTGAAAACCACGATCAAGCCACAATACACATGGGCTCCACACTTACCCAAGTCCATCACAGATGAGATGGAAAAAGTCAGGAGTCACACCCAGATCTGACCATTTCCAGAGCCTGGGTTCTTGTCTGCAATCCGGTCTGCCTTCCTGCTTCTGTGTTTTATTCGGGTTAAGGCTAAAAGGGTACTCTGTTGCCTGGTAACATTTTGTAGCTCCAGCTCTTTGGCACATTAGCCTGGTGGCCATGTTCCAGAGGTCCCCCTTTCTCTCCCACACTTATCTCTGGTTACATTCCGTTTTGCAAACTCACATCCACAAACTGCAAGGAATCTGAGCCTGTAGATCATCTGTCTGACTGACAGCTGTCTGCCAATTTCATGTTTCAGACACATTCCATGTTTCTTTGTTTGAATCAGGGTTGTCTTTCAAGTCTCATTTCTTTAGATCTACTTAACATCAGAAACTTTCAAACTGCCTTATTGATACATCTGGCTTCCTAGGATGTGCTAATGGCAAAGAATCCACCTGCCAATGCAGGAGACGCGGGTTTGATCCCTGGGTTGGGAAGATCCCCTGGAGGAGGGCATGACAACCCACCCAGCATTCTTGCTGGGAAATCCCACGGACAGAGGAGCCTGGCAGGTTACAGTCCACGGGGTTGCCAAGAGTCAGACACAGCCGAGCACACGCACACACACACTGACACATGTGTGACTTTGAAGAACTGTTTTTTTGGTCTCTGCTCCCAGGGCACCGGGCTTCCCTCATAGGGCACGTGGTAAAGAGTCTGTCTGCAATGCAGGAGAGCCAGCTTCAATTCCTGGGTGGGGAAGATCCCCTGGAGAAGGAAATGGCAAACCACTCCAGTGTTCTTGCCTGGAGATTCCCATGGGCAGAGGAGCCTGGTGGGCTACAGTCCATGGGGTCGCAAGAGTTGACTTAGCGACTAAACCACCAAACCACCACCACCCAGAGCATCCAGTTCTTCCCCTTTATCAAATAGAGGTCACTGCTAACGTCTTTTCTAAAATCAGGCTGACGACTCATCAGTGTGATGAAAGCTGGCTGTCTGGTCACATCCTCTGTGTTCAGCCCAGCAGCTCTGGGGAGTTGAACTGTCCAACCGTCTCTCTGTTTTGCCTCTGTGTGGAACTTAAAAGCTAAACTGCCATCACAGCCTCGAGTTTTCTCTTCTCTTTCATCCAGTGAGTGATTTGTGTGTGCTCTCTGACATATTAATATGGCCTTTGATCTTCACCAAGATCCTGCCCTACACGCCCAACCCTTGAGTTGGCAGTGTTTCTCCAGGCACAGCTCCGTCTTCCTTATGGGCGCATTAGTCTGTTACGGCTCTTGTCACCAAGGACCACAAACTGAGAGGCTTAAAATCATGGAAATGTATTGCACCATAGCTCTGGAGGCCAGAAGGCCCGAATCAGGATGTTGGCAGGGCCACGCTCCCTCTGAAACTAAGCAAACAGGCTTCCTTGCCCCTTCCGTCTTCTGGTGGGGGCTGCTCCTCAGTCTCCCTTGGCTCACAGCTGCATTCATCTCTGTCTTCACAGGACCCCCAGGTGTGTCTCCATCTCTTCTATCCATGAGGACATCATCCTATTGGATTCGGAGACACCCCAGTGATCTCATCTCAAGAAGATCACATCTGCAAAAATCTTATTTCCTAATAAAGTTACATTTACAGGTGCTGGGGTTTGAAGATTTCAATACATCCTTTCTGAGGACACTATTCAACCCATACTGGTATGGAGCCCTGCTTCTGTTTAAGACTGTGTACTCTTTGTCACCAAGTTCCAGTAATAAATCCCACCGGTCCAAAGCTCCATGTCATTTTGTAAGATTACAATTATCATCTTAAATGATGACCTCAAACTCACATTATTTATTGCCTTGGGTACTGGCCGGCAGACAAATGGGTACACACATCTTGTTTGTTTTGTTCTCTTCTCCTACCTTCATATCTCAGGATATCAGCATTTCACCATCTACAGGTTTCTACGTGACACTGAGCACCCACCACCTGCAAGGCCATGTTCGTCTCCAGCCTCCAGAACCTACCAAATCACAGTCTGCCTTTCTCCTGTCTCATCCTCTATGTAACCCTACTAATGTGGTTTTCTTTTTTTCAAATCACTCTGTGGAAGTGATTTAATATATACAACTGTAGATATTTAACTTATACAACTTAATGAGTTTGGGGATAAATATGCACCAGTGAAACCACTACCACCATCAAGACCGCGGACACCTCCATTGCCCCTAAAGTTTCTTCTTGCGCCTTCATTGGCATTATTATCATCATTATTATTACTAGTGTGTATGTCTGTGTGTTAAGAACATGGAACATAAGACCTATGGTCTCAGCGAGTTCCGAATATACAACACAATACTGCTAGCTGTAGGCATGTACTGAGCAGTAAACAGGTGTTATTCATCCTGCATACCCAGAACTTCATGCCCCTCAACCTGCATCTCTCTACTTTCTCCTCCCCATGATCCCTGGCGACTATCATTCGACCTTCTGTTCTGTGGAAAGTGTCATCCATCTGAGTGCCTGTGTCATCACTGGGGGCCTTGACCTGCACAGTTAGAAGCTTCCACCTTCTTTGCAGATCTTTTTCCAGGCACAATGTGAGTACTTTACCTCTATGTACTGTCATATGTAAACCATAGAATCATTTTAGTGGCCTGTACTTTGATCCCCTGGAGAAGAGAATGGCTACCCACTCCAGTATTCTTGCCTGGAAAATCCTCCGGACAGAGGAACCTGGTGGGCTACAGTCATGGGGTGGCAAAGAGTTGGACACGACTTAGCCGCTAAACCACCACCATACTTTGCAGATTGGTTTTTAAGAAAATAAAATATACTACCAAAACTCAGTGGCTCAGAAACATTTTAAAATGACTCTTGACTCTAAAGAGAAAGCAAGGAGACTTTGTCCTCTCTTGAAATGGGATACGGTTTCCAAGATGCCCCTTTCACATCACACCTGCGTGGGCCCGAAGGAAATAAACGCTGATTCTGACTAGCCTGTGGGAAAAAGCAAGTGGTTGAATTAAATTCAGTATAATAAAAACAAAACAAGCAAATGAACACCAGAATACATGACCTCAGTTTGTGCGTGAGTCTGAAGTGGATAGGACTTGTGTTTACTTCTTGTTCCTTACATGTGTGTGGTCTGTTTCTTTGTGGGGTTGGGATCACGTTTGCTAAAAGTCCCGGATGGGACTCTGTCCACTAAGAAAGTCAGCTCAGAAGGACCGTACCATGACAGACGCGTTTGAACCTTCAGACTTGTCCATAAGTTATGCAACATTCTCTCTGCGGAAGCTGGGCATGGGTGCCAGCCAGTTCGCAGCCCAGCGGACACCCCCTTAGACGTTGGTCTTCAAATTCCTTGGCTTACTAAAAGACAAAGGAAGAAACCCACGAAAGTCAGTTGCTTTTCCAAAACCTGGCCCTCTCCTCCTCTTTCTTCTCTTCCCTCTCTGAGCAGCATGTGGTGCCTGTGATCACTTGTTGAGACTCAGCGGTGTCCCTTGAGTTAATCTCAGTTCTAATCTTCTTCCCTTCTCATGATTGACAAACACACGCCAGTCTGAGGGCAACTGCGACACCTTTGCTATTCTTCCTTCTCTCCCCATCATGTGGAAGGAGAAGGCCCCCGACTCAACCTGTCTCACTGGGTACCAGCCCACAACTCGCCATCATGCTCCCCTGCGAGGGAGAACACAAAACCAGCGTCTTCTTTCTGTCCTCTGGGAAAAGGTCCACAGCCATGTATTCAGAGAAGGATGCGGTCCCTGTCAGCTCTGAAGAGCCGGACGAGGCGCAGCTGTGGGCTTCCCGGGCGGGTCCGATGCTGGAGGCCAGGCTGTGTTTGCCTGGCTGACCGTCTAGACGCCTGCCTCTCTGAAGCGGGCCACGGGAAGGGCGCGTCAGGTGTGGACCTATGATTGTTGAAGACAGTCCACTGTTGACTCTACATGGGAAGACCTTTTCTCAAGTGGGTCATTACAGCCATCCAGACTGCAAGTGAAAGTCACTCAATCGTTTCCGACTCTTTGTGACCCCATGGACTATGCAGTCCATGGAATTCTCCAGGCCAGAATACTGGCGTGGGTAGCCTACTGTTCCCTTCTCCAGGGGATCTTCCCGGCCCAGGGATCAAACCCAGGTCTCCCACATTGCAGACGGGTTCTTTACCAGCTAAGCCACCAGGAAGCCCAAGAATACTGGAGTGGGCAGCCTGTCCCTTCTCTAGGGGATCTTCCCGGCCCAGGAATCGAACTGGGGTCTCCTGTATTTTAGGCAAATTCTTTACCAGCTGAGCCACAAGGGAACTGTGGTGACCAGTAAATGGCAAATGACCATTTCCAGATGTGATGAGCCAGGAAAGGACCTCTGAAATGAGGGGGAACCCTCCCAAAGCGATATGTCCAAGCCAGAAATGCCACCCATTTTTACCTGCCTTTCACATATCAGTAATAAAAGTGCCAACCTGGTGAGAGGGACTGTGGGCATTGCTCACTGGAGCTCACACACCAACGTGCTCCAGCTCTGAAAGATGATCCCTCGGCCGCCGGTTAGCTCAGGGGGCCAGGTGTGGCCGTACCTGTCGGGTGAGGCCCCGGGCAGCCCCGTGCGCTCCAGGTGCGGCCTGAATGTCCTCTGGGCAGCGGTCACAGCCGCTATTTGCATCAGGTTGTCACGGTGATGCTGACGCTCACATTTCTGGCAGCAAATTAACTCTTTCTCTCCCCGTTGGCTGGGTTATAAAGTGAGGTGTAGCATATTAATGACCGATACTCACGTCAGAAGATTAAATTGAATGCACTGAAATCCGAATTGGCTATTAAGATGTAGACACAGGAACATTAAAAAGAGAGAGACAGAGGCCACAGACTGCTAACCCTGACGGCTCATTGCAGCCAGCGTGCTGCCTCCTACGGTAACAGGGTGTTTGATTAACGATGCCCCCACTCCACCCCAAGCATAGTCCCCACCACTGTCTGCTAATTTCTTCTGTTTTCATCTTAAAAAAATTTTTTTTCTATATACTTTCCTTGTAGCCTTACTCTATCCTTAAATGAGATCATGCTTCTGTAGATGAGAGCAAGTTCGCGTTGGAGAGGAGCTCAGAAGATGTTGGGGTTCCTTGGAATGTCATCAGTATCCTCATCAGGGTGTCCAGATGAGGTCAACAAGAAGGATATTCAGACAAAGAAGGGAGAATCCGCGCAATGAGCACACTCCAAACCTCAGGGATACTGGCCGTCTCCCCTACACGGGGACCGTGAGCTGGGAAAAGCCCATCTCGAAGGCGCCCTGGGATGGCTGAAGAAAATGATGATATATTAGACAGGTGCACCGCATATGTGGGCTTCCCTCTGGCTCTGTGTATCAGAGCCTGTAATATATCAACAACTCATTCATTGTTGTTCAGCCACTCAGTCGTGTCAGACTCTTTGTGACCCCGTGGCCTGCAGCACGCCAAGCTTCTTTGTCCACTGTTTCCTGGAATTTGCTCAGACTCATGTCTATTGAGTCAGTGATGCCATCTGACCATCTCATCCTCTGTCGCCCCCTTCTTCTGCCTTCAGTCTTTCCTAACATCTGGGTCTTTCCTAATGCTTCGGCTCTTCACATCAGGTGGCCAAAGTGTTGGAGCTTCAGCTTCAGCATCAGTCCTTCTGACGAACATTGAGAGTTGACTTCCTTTAGGATGGGTCTGATCTCCTCCTTGCAGTCTCAAAACTTCATCACTGAGAATGGGACAAAAAAGGAGTCAGAGGAAAATGTCCTTTCTCTGGCATCTCTGGCACCCCTCACTTCTGATCAGGGTGACCCAATCTCCTAACGGTGCCATTCCTCGAAGGAGTCAGGTCAGAACTGAGGGAGGTCCACCTGCTTCTCTCAGCCTCCGGTTCAGATATTTGCTCATCTCATCTAGAAACATCCTTGCGGGCACACCCAGCATCACATTTGACCAAATGTCCAGGTGTCCTGTGGTTCCATCAAGCCAACACATAAAATCCAGCATCTCGCCTTCTGACCCGAATCCTTGGCTCCATTCGTGATATTTTAGCAAGTGGAAAGCAAGGTTCCAGCTCCTTCTCAGGCCTCTCTTGGAATCAGTGAGGTATCTAAGGAAATGGATGAAGCCCATCAACAGAGTAAACTGTGGGTAATCATGTGTGAGATTAAAGAAATATGTGATCTAAACAAGCAAGTTTACAATAGGCTTTTACAGTGTTTTGCACACCAAGTAACTGCAAGTACATCGGATATAATTTGCCTTTCCAAATAAACTGACACACACAGGTCTTCCCGTGCCCTGCATGCGGAGACTTCTCTCCGAAAACAGCCTCGGGCCCTGTTGAAACGATTCTTCATATCCTTCCTTTCTCTTTCCTGGGAGCTAGGATCAGAGGGAAAGGCAATTTACACGATGCTTGAAAGACTACGCAGTTGCATAGGATAAAACACACAGTTTCCGAGAGGAGGATGTGTCCAAGGCAGATGGAAACAGGCTTCAACCCTCCTGCCGGTGGGGGTCATCCACCTGCAGTCGAGAAAGATCGTCCCTGGAGAAACACGCCCACATGCGCACACAGGCATGCCCACGTGTGTGCACACGGGGCAGCTGAGAAAGGAGGCAGGAAGGGGAAGATCTGAGTCGAAAAGCCACGTACCCCCGGGACTTCTACTTTTCGCAGGCAATTTTCATGTCAATGGGTAAATCGAAAATGTGAATAAGAGCTTTTTTTTCTCTTGAGCCTGAGGGAAGATTCTATCTTCGCCCCCAACTCCAGTGCATTCTGTGAGAGCTGTCAGTTTCGGCTTTTAGCGCAAGGTTCCAGGCTCCCCTTTCGCGAGTGGGGGCTGGATCGCGCACTGTCACATTCATAATAGAAACCGTGCTTCTCCCCACGCAGCTCGAGTGTTACCGACGTCTGTAGCCTCACTCTTTTCAAGTCGGAGCTGGTACCCAGAGCTCAAATCTTGCTCTTTAGATAAAGTGGCCCCTTGGTACCATTTTGACAATTTCGCCTCTCATCACTGTAGCTTAAGAAGGATCCCGCGGGATTGTGCTGATTTAAATTAATTCTTTTGTACCAAGATGATACTGGCTGTGTTCTCCCTCGCCATCTTTTCAGTAGTTTCTAAATTTTACTTCTCCCTAAGCTTCTCCAGGCCACCAGCCAGATTTGGGGCCACAACTCTCCCCCGCTTCCACTTGGCGTAAACAGCAACCTCGCCCACCAACCCCCCCACCCCACTCCGCCCTTTGCATCTTGAGATGTCCCCATCAAATTGCTTTCATGAAATGGAAGTTTGCTTTTTGTTTTATGATCTGGGATTAGCACAGTGCTTTTACGGGTGTCTGTCTCTTCATGTACCTTTGTTACTTGTTCCCGAGGGGTCTGTCCTCAATGAAAGGTCCAGGGTAGACATCGGCAATTTACTTTGAACAATGACTATCGGGGTCCCCTCCAATATTTCAAATAAATACTGCGGACTGTAATAAAACAGAGTTCTGAAAGAAAGCCTCAGACACCAGCCAGACTTCAAAACAAATATTTTAATATTGTACTGAACTGTAAAACCATTTATGACTAGAATTAATTGTTGCTCGATTTATTGCCATGATTCCCTTGGTATCAGACAGGAGTTCAACAAGAGTGCAACTTACATCCTGCTAACCGTTCTGCAGGGCGTAGCCTGGCCCCCTGGGGGGTCCAAGTATTTGGAAGTGGGGTGCTCTACGGAAAGGAGCTCCTGGGCTCCACTCCTTTATTCAAAGTTGTAGTTGACTTACAATGCTGCTGTGTTTGTTTCTGGCGTACAGCAGAGTGGTTTATTTACATACATAGACATCTATTGTCATATTCTTGTTCATTTTCATCATAAGTTGTTATAAGGCATTGGCTACAGTTCCCCATGCTCTATACACTGCACCCTCTGAAGAGACTTCTCAAAAGATGAGCTCCAAGAATGTTCTGAAGCAAAGAAGGACAACTGAATTAAATCATGGCCTCTCGGGATCACAAGGCCACTGAGGGACTAGGCTGAGAGCTTCCTCTGTTTGCTCTTCGAAGGACATGTTCTTTGGTGCCGTGGCGGCCCGAGGTGTGTGTGGAGCAGGGGGCTGCAGCCAGCGCTGGGGCGCAGCCCATGGGGCCGTGTGAGCCTCATTCTCCTTTGGGTCGTGAAGAGCCCGGTTGCAACTTGACACCTGACTTTTTCCAATCGGCCCTGCTCTGGACCTTCTTGGGATGATTCGGGAACTGAACTGTGGATTCTCCCCGCTGCCCACAAATAAAATAACCCGTCGTTTCCCTCCCCTGTCCCCTCGGGCTGCGGGCCGCCGGGAACACGCCCAGTGCCTTCCTGGGTAGCCTAAGCCTACCGCTGGCTGTGATCATGCAGACCCACAGTACTCTCTTCGGATCTGAATGAAGCCAGTTTGGCGTCAGTAGGAACAAACGCAGAGAGCCTTGAGAAAGCATCGCTCTTCTTTCTCTTCTGTTTCTCCTTTTGGCAGCTCTTCACGGGAATCTGGGTTTATTGGTTGAGGACAGAGCCTTGTGTTCAGAGTGAATTGAAAAGGAGAAGCAGGAGGAAGGAGCAGTCAAATTGAGCACGAAAGGTTTCATTGACAAAAGAGGGTGCGCCTAAAACAATCTTTTTCCGTGGACGTGTGGACCTTTCAAAGCACCTGAACTCTCGTAAGATTTTTAAAAATCGTGCAATGATGATACAGTGATGGCGCTTCTGGTAATCCCGGCTCATGGTGTTAGGGTGATCGCTCTACCAGCAGGCTGCCCACTCGTGCCTTTGTTTTTCTATCCTTGGCATCTCAGACTTTGGCAGAGTCAGCGGACAAGACCCCATTTTAAAAGCCAGTCAGATCTCCGGACTGCAGGGTGCAATCCAGACTCACACAGTCTCTCCTCTCGGATCCCAAGGCCGAGAGGGCCGTCCTAGAGATGGAACTCGAGTGCCACGTGCTCTCTCTTCTCTCGAGATAGACGTTACCTGGCGCGCTCTGCCAGGCAGAGTTTTCGAGGTGACTGGCTGGCACACGGATGTACTGTGTCAAGTCAGTGACGTTCTCTCTCTTAAAACAAAACAACATCCCTCCGGGCTCCTCCCTCGTGCCTACATGGTGGCAAATAATTGTTTGCCAAGCTTTCTCTCCTCCCGCTCCGTGTCCCATTGAGATCATGGAAATGCAAAGCAAATATCCGCGGAGTAACATGCCTCAGAGAGTATTTATTTAAGAGTATTATTCCAGGATGTGCACACAGATAAAGACTTTGTGTAATGAGTGAGTGACTCCAGAGGCCAAATACCAAGAAGTCATACTCTGTACCCAGGGTGTCCTGGCCGGGCACAGGTCGCCCAGGGCCCACTCAGGACACGCCCTTAAAACGGCCACCTTGCCAAGCTCCAAATCCGTGGGAGCAGGCAGAAACGCAGGGGAGGAGCTTAGGAAAATGCCCCAGGGTGCAGTCGGTTTGTTAGGAGATCTAGGTCAGAAGCAGGCAAACTAAACCTGGGGGACGGGCGGGAGGGGGGACTGGGATGGGGAACACATGTAAATCCATGGCTGATGCATGTCAACGTATGGCAAAAACCACTACAATATTGCAAAGTAATTAGCCTCCAACTAATAAAAATAAATGAAAAAAATAAAGAATAAAAAAATAAACCTGGGGGATGGAGGAGGAGAAGGGAGGCCTTCCAGATCCTTCCAGATCCTTCTAGAGCCAGTGGGCACTGGCAGAGGTCCAGGAAGCCTCTGGGCTTGGCAAGCGCTGGCAGCTCAGAGCTTGCTTCTCATTTAGCTCTTCAAGGACTCAAAGAGGCAATAGCAGCTCCCGCTTTTGATGTCCTGAGGAGTCTACAGGAAGGACAGGAACCATCGGTGTTTGGAAATCAGGGTCGTGGGCGCTGACCCGCCCTTGTTCCCTTCATGTGCAGTGGACACACGAAGCACTGACCGTTTGCTTCAGACTAAGACTCGAATCAGGAAGCACACGAGAGTCTCTGCATATTTAATGATTATTGACCTTTTAAATTGGTTTTAAAAGAAAAGCTTTCTGGACGAAATACAGGTTTGAAAGGGTGGCTTCAACCTCACACTCCTTCTCATTCATTCTCGCCTCCATGCACTCGCTTCACCATCCTCCTCGAGTTTCCCATAAACCTCTGTCTGTGCTGAAAATTGTTTTACCACCGAAAACGCTGTGCACGGGGCTAATGGCGTAATGAACAGATTTTTCATAAACAGACTCGTGTGTTCACTGACTGCCTAGGAAGCATGCTTCGAGGTGCTCGCGAGGAAGCACAGCGGGGCCCAGCAGAGTCTTCCTTAGGGAGCCAGGCTTCCCGTTTTCCATAATAAGAACATAAAGAATCGCTTTTTATTGATATGGGAACGCATTTTTATTGCTTTCTCTGATTTAGCATCTTTCCTGAAAGAAGCGGATTAGACTCCTCATTTCATTAAAGCAAGATTACTGGCCCTGCTTCATTATCAGCGTTCTGATTCTTAGGGAAAAGCAATCTTCACAAAGCTTTTTGTTACTTAATGATTCCAGAGTGTGGCGATCGTAAAATTCAGATGGACCTCTGGTAGAAATGCACACGTGGTCTTCACGTCCCAGTCGTGGAGAAAGCAAAAGGTCATCTTTTTCTTTCCTTTGTTAGATTGCATCACCTTAGTGGGAGAAAGGGCTTCCCAGGTGGCTTGGTGGTGAAGAATCTGCCTGCAATGCAGGAGACGCTGGTTCGATCCCTGAGTTGGGAAGATCCCCTGGAGGAGGACATAGCAACCCATTCTAGTATTCTTGCCTGGGGAATTCCATGGACCAGAGCCTGGCGGGCTCCAGTCCGTGGGTTGGCAAAGAGTTGGACACGACTGAGCACACATGGAGACCAAGTGGGGGAAACCATTTCAGCTCAGCTGCTCAGCAAGAGGTCGTCCACGGGTCCTAGGCTGGGATGGTTCACAGCTGTGTATGCTGCTCTCAAGTCTGATGGGTACCAAGGAAATACCCATTCCACAGATGGAGAGGCTGAGAAGGGCAGTGTCGGTTAACTCCCCTGGAAAGGGAAAATGTGCAAGTTGTGAAGTGGAGAGAACTTGAGATGTTCTGAAATTCCCATCAGCCCCTCCACCCAAGACTTTTAAGAAACGGCAGTAGGGTGCAACCAAAGTTTTTGCTGATTCATACCAAATAATCTTTTCAGTTTCTCCTCTCTTGTCAGAGGGCCAAGAAAAAGCTCTGTTTGTCTCTCCTGGATGTTCTGTTCCACTTGGATGTATACCTGCTGTCACCTGCAGCAGCCTGTCAGGCGTCTACCAGCCAAAGCTGGACGGTCCAGGCAGCTAACACCCGCGGGTGCTGCCACTGGGGGACCCAGGGCACACTGCCCTCACATACATTGTTCCTTCTTCTGTCTCCACTGGGAAAGCGGCACTTACCCGGCCGCCCAACTGTGGGAGATGCTTCACAAAAGCAGGGGTCTACCTCCTGGGGAGCTGGGGATGGAAAAAGGCATTCCTGCAAAATGCTGGGGCAGCCCCACCCGCCTGGAGAGGACACAGTCTATGCCAGCTACAACTTCCGCTCTTAGTGGAGTAGGGACACCAATACCTTTATACGCCTGAATCTCCCAACCCACAGCGCCTTGAACACTGAGCCTGCATTTGTGGCTACAATTTCTGATCAGTAGGAAGGACTTGACCTGGTTTAAAACCTTCCAGGTGACTATGACACGCAGCCCAGCTTGAGAGCCCACCACTTTGGGCCCTGTAGTGGAAATGGCTGTCCCCTAATTCATGGTGAACACAGGGGCCCAGAGAGGTTGAGTCATTTGCCCAAAGTTGCACAGCTGAGTGTCGGAGCTATGATTACAAGCTTAGGTTTTCTGAGCCGGAAAGCAGCACCCTGGCTGAGTATTGGGATCACCCAGGAAGAGGCTCTAAGGACTGAAGCCAGGAGCTCATTTGACGTCAAGCAACCTTATTTTCAAAGTTCCCGGAAGAATCTAATGTGAAAACTGGATTTGAAGACAACTTCTCTGACCTGAAAATGGACTACCTGCTTCAAAATTTCCTGGGGAATATATTAATAATACAGATTCCAGATTCCTCCCCGAATCCCGCAGATCAGAACAGATGAGTAGAAGCCAAGGATCTGGATTGGCATCCAGGGAGAGCTTCTCCGGCAATTTCCTTACACACACGCGGAAACTTGAGAACCGGTGTCCACCTTATGCCTCCAGCTGTTTCCATTTAGGGAGATTTCTCTGTTTCTCTCACTTTTCTCTTCCCTCCTCCTACCTCTTTTGGTTCTCCTTGTAGTAATACTAACAACAATTTTTAAACTATGTGTTTTGTTTTTTTTCACTGTGGCATGCAAGTATTTTTTTTTTTTTTCAGTCAATAGCTGTATAGAGAAAAAAAGTTTCTTTTTCTCACATACACACACACCTCTTTTGTAGTTGGTCTGACAGTCTGTGCATTAAAACAAAATGAATCCAGCTTCTTAGCATAAACTTCTTTTAAGACTGAAGACTTTCAGCAGAAAATTATATTGATTCTGATTAACCAGCATAGTTACAGAAGGGCTGTCTTGGCCTTTCTCTAGCAGGCAGAGCTATGTATATGGTTGACGTTTATATCATTTTTAGTTTAGATTAATCGGGTTTTACCCTTCCTTTTTTTTTTTGCCAGTTAGGGTAACATAGAATGATGTTCTTTTATTCACATAGCCTGGATTTGCTAGAATAGAGAATGGGGAAAAGAAAGAACAGAGGATAGGGACAGAAGAGAGAAAAGAGGAAGATACAGTCAGACTGAAGATGATAAAGCAGTAACCAGAGCGGGCAAAGTGGGGGAGGTCAGGAAAGAAGGGCGATGGAGGGGGCGGGGCGGGGGAGGGGGCGGGGGGAGGGGAGGGGGGGAGGGGGCGGGGGAGGGGGAGGGGGCGGGGGGCGGGGGCGGACGGAGGAGAAAGAGAAGATGCTGAGGGGTAAAGGCAGAAGAAGGACCACTTGGCGTCGGGTCAAAGGTTGAACACGTTCCTTCCTATTTGATCCGCAAACAGTCCCAAGGGGGCAGCGAACGCAAGCAGGCTAGAACCCTGGCGTCCAGGGGGTCAGGACCTGCCCCCTGACTCCGGGGTCAGAGCTGCGGCCAGAGCCCAGCAACCTGGTTTCCTGACGACACTTTCAGTTTTACTTCCTGGTCCACCGGTCCCGCCAAAAGGACTATAGGGGCACTGCCTCTGCCTTCCTCAGGGCAGGGGTCCAAGGAGATGGACTGACGGAGAGCCAGAGGATGGACAGACGGAGAGCCGGGGGATGGACGGGCGGAGACCTGGAGGATGGAGAGCTAGAGAGCCGGGTGATGGACGGACAGAGAGCCGGGTGATGGACGGATGGAGAATGGGGTGATGGAGAGCTAGAGAGCCGGGTGACGGACGGACGGAGAGTCGGGTGATGGAGAGCTAGAGAGCCGGGTGATGGACGGACAGAGAGCCGGGTGATGGAGGGCTAGAGAGCTGGGTGATGGAGGGCTAGAGAGCCGGGTGATGGACGGACGGAGAGCCGGGGGATGGACGGACGGAGAGCTGGAGGATGGACGGATGGAGAGCCGGGTGATGGAGGGCTAGAGAGCCGGGTGATGGACGGACAGAGAGCTGGGTGATGGACGGACGGAGAGCCAGAGGATGGACAGGCAGAGAGTCGGGTGATGGAGAGCTAGAGAGCCGGGTGATGGACAGACAGAGAGCCGGGTGATGGACGGACGGAGAGCCGGAGGATGGACGGACGGAGAGCCGGGTGATGGAGAGCTAGAGAGCCGGGTGATGGACAGACAGAGAGCCGGGGGATGGACGGACGGAGAGCTGGAGGATGGATGGGCGGAGAGTCGGGTGATGGAGAGCTAGAGAGCTGGGTGATGGACGGACAGAGAGCCGGGCGATGGACAGACAGAGAGCCGGGTGATGGACGGACGGAGAGCCGGGTGATGGAGGGCTAGAGAGCCGGGTGATGGACGGACAGAGAGCCGGGTGATGGAGGGCTAGAGAGCCAGGTGATGGAGGGCTAGAGAGCCGGGTGATGGACGGACGGAGAGCCGGGTGATGGAGGGCTAGAGAGCCGGGTGATGGACGGACGGAGAGCCGGGGGATGGACAGACGGAGAGCCGGGTGATGGAGAGCTAGAGAGCCGGGTGATGGATGGACAGAGAGCCGGGTGATGGATGGACGGAGAGCTGGAGGATGGACAGACGGAGAGCCAGGTGATGGAGAGCTAGAGAGCCGGGTGATGGATGGACAGAGAGCCGGGTGATGGACGGACGGAGAGCCGGGTGATGGAGGGCTAGAGAGCCGGGTGATGGAGGGCTAGAGAGCCGGGTGATGGAGGGCTAGAGAGCCGGGTGATGGACAGACGGAGAGCCGGGTGATGGAGGGCTAGAGAGCCGGGTGATGGACGGACGGAGAGCCGGGGGATGGACAGACGGAGAGCCGGGTGATGGAGAGCTAGAGAGCCGGGTGATGGACGGACAGAGAGCCGGGTGATGGATGGACGGAGAGCTGGAGGATGGACAGACGGAGAGCCAGGTGATGGAGAGCTAGAGAGCCGGGTGATGGACGGACAGAGAGCCGGGTGATGGATGGACGGAGAGCCGGAGGATGGACGGGCAGAGAGTCGGGTGATGGAGAGCTAGAGAGCCGGGTGATGGACAGACAGAGAGCCGGGTGATGGATGGATGGAGAGCCGGAGGATGGACGGACGGAGAGCCGGGTGATGGAGGGCTAGAGAGCCGGGTGATGGACGGACAGAGAGCCGGGTGATGGACGGATGGAGAGCCGGGGGATGGACGGACGGAGAGCTGGAGGATGGACGGACGGAGAGCCGGGTGATGGAGAGCTAGAGAGCCGGGTGATGGACGGACAGAGAGCCGGGCGATGGACGGACGGAGAGCCGGGTGATGGAGAGCTGGAGAGCCGGGTGATGGAGAGCTAGAGAGCCAGGTGATGGACGGATGGAGAGCTGGAGGATGGACGGAGGAGAGCCGGGTGATGGAGAGCTAGAGAGCCAGGTGATGGACGGACAGAGAGCCGGGTGATGGACGGATGGAGAGCTGGCTGGTGGAGGAGAGCCAGGCAGAGGGCCCTGCTCGGGGCTCGCTTGGCCAGCTGCCCCTCAGTTGTCACTCCGGGGGGGCCCTGCCTTCAAGCACAAAGCGAACCTGGTCTGAGTTTTCCAGTGTCCTTCTCTCCGCTAACTCATGCCAAGGCGCCAGTTCTAATCAGATGTGAAGGCTTAGTTTCAGGGCGACTGGAATTTCCTTCTTGGGTGGTGAGCTGATCCCAGGAGGCCTGTGAGGGCCCCGCCGGCCACGGCAGTGGCTAGAGCTGCTCAGATGCTGGCCAAGGCCACTGCTCGCCATCAAGAGTGCCCACGCCAGGGCCGGATGGCAGAGAGACTCTGGCACGGCTCCTCTCTGACTCACCAGCAGTGTCTGCGTTTTCTCATTCACGCTTGAAGGAAGAGGTGTCTCTGTCTCCTATCTCCTCTACTACTTGGAAATACACAGGAGCCTTCTACCTCTGGCTGGTTCCCAGGGTACGCCCACTGTGGGTGTTTTGTTCCGAACACTTGGAAGTGTAGGAAGTAGCTCCTCTGTAAATGAACTTGAAGACACGAGCACCGAGTCTAGGGCGCAGAGTGGGCAGAGGTCTCGGAGATAAAATGGGGATGTGTGTGTGCTGCGCTAAGTCATGTCTGCCTCTTTTGCGACCCCAGGGACTGTAGTCCACCAGGCTCCTCTGTCCATGGGATTCTCCAGGCAAGAATACTGGAGTGGGTTGCCGTTTCCTTCTCCAGGGGACCTTCCCCACCCAGGGATCAAACTTGCGTCTCCTGCATCTCTTGCATTGGCAGGTGAATTCTTTACCGTTGCACCAGGATGTATTGGAACTAAACGTTGCAGAGGAGGCAGAGATTCCCGTGGGAAGCCAGCACAGAGCAGGGGTGCGACTCAGTCAGCCTTCATGTTTCCTACGCTAAGGATGGTACCATCAGAACAAAATAAACATCCCAAGGTGACGGTGTTTTTCTCCACTTATCTCTAATGCATGTTTTATGAGCCTCAAGTCGTGTCGTCTGAGGAACACAGGAGCAGAAACAGCGGCACAGAAAGTCCTGCTGTGTATGCAAGTCTTAGAAATCTGTTTTCCTGAACAAACAAGTCCGTTGAAAGAACAAAGTCTGAAAGTGAATCATAAACTCCTGTTTTGTTGGAGCCGAAGCTGTTTTTGAAAACATCCCTGTTGGATTGGGGGTCACATATGGGCAATGGAAGACCAGAAATTAACTATAAACTTCCAGGAAGGACACAGACCAGCTGACAAGTCTGTTTTGCTCTTTTTCTTTCTTTCTTTTTTTAATTCAAAGGCAAAGATAACACAAATTTTCCAACACATTGAGAACATTGTACACTGGGTAAGCTTCAAATAAATAAGTTTTGTTAACTCTCACATAAATGAATGTAGTAAGTGGAAACAGCATCCTTAATATTAAAGCTTTGTCAGAAGCCCAGAATGAATTTTGAATCTGGCTTCAAAGAATTAATGTAAGCAATCTGGTAAAGACTTACTTAAAAAAAAAATCCTAAAACATTATGAATTTCTGAAAGTTACGCAGCTGACAGAAATCCTCTGAATTGTATTATTTCTCTACTGGAGGTTGGTATTGCTCTTTCTAATAGGAAAGCAAACTCTAGTAAATGGAAAAATCCACGTACTTTACTTTGAGGCATTACATTAAATATTTTCTTTTTAGAACATGAAAGCTTTGGACGTTTGAGTGAAGAGCATAAGGCTACTTAGATGGTAGAAATACTTGTTCGGGATACTTGAAAATTACTTAAGATTTATCTTTAATAATAACGATGATCTGGGGATTACACTTAACAAGTTCAGTTTTCCATGTATATACACACAGGACACTTGGGATATGCTTGTCCATTTGTGAAACGTGACAGACTTTGAAAATATCCAAGAGTACTCATCCAAACAAAAAAATAAAAGAGCAAAAATATTAAGCTTCGGGCAATTTCCTTCAAAAACAAAACTAAGATTTTCCTGAGTTTTAAGATAAGTAGATTTATCATAAAAGTTCCCCACTTTTGGATAACACATAAAAATCACCGTAACTTAAATTGTTCTGGAAATCCCTGAATTAAACTCTGTTCACTTCCATTTGCCTCAGAGGTCAAAACTGACCTATATTTGACTAGATGGAATGAATAGAAATATACAGAAGAATGAGTTCTCTTCTTTAAGCATTGGGACATGTTTTGAAAAGTAATTACAAAAGACTTGATTAAGAGGCCATAAATAAAGGTCAAGAACAGGAAAATGGAATCTTAGTCCTGAACACGCTGACTTTTCACACTTATTTTCCTCGTGTCTCATTTTGTCATCATCGACGCGTGTGAACACAGCCAGATGATGACTTCCGCTCCATCCTCCCGAGCGCCGGTGAGATTCTGGACAGTAGGTGGGCGTGGCCGGGGCCCCAGACCGCCGGCCGCCTGCCCCAGCCTGCCCTGCACGGGGCTGGCCTTCGGTCACTTGGCGCCTCTGCACAGCCCGCCAGGGTGTGGCACGGACGCGATCTTGTTTACAGGGCAAAGGTCCTCCCGCTGACACTCTGCCAGGAATCCAGGCTGCTTTTCCCAGAAAGAGTGTTTTGCACCGGGTAGATCAATATTCCCTCCCACTCTATGGAGGGTCAGGGAGATAACCCGAGAACGGCAGGTGCACACCCAGGGCTGGGTGTGCACGCCCGGGGCACGCGCGCACCATGAGGGGCGCTGCGGGCTCTCGGGACAGCGACAGGCGGCTGTGTAGGGCAGCGCGCCGCCCTGGGCGCCCGCCGGGAGGGTCCGTGGCACAGGCGCAGGAGGAGCGGGAGACAGAGGCCGCCGGGCTCCTGAGTTCCACCCGGAAGAGTGCCAGAGAAGAGAGCGCCCAGCCGGGGTCTGCGAGGCGGGCAGGGGCTGAGGAAGCCCTCACTCCCACGGCCGTCCGCTGAGATGGGATGACAGGCTGGAGAAGGAACGGTCAATCACATCTGGCCGCTTTCCTTAGAACCCAGCCCGGGGCGGGGGCCAGGTCCACAGACGGCGGAGGAGGCAGAGGGTTGCCCCTGGAGGCAGGTGTGAGGACGCCCGCTCTGCTCTGGGGCTGCAGGGACCTCTGTCGGGAAGAGCGGTGGGGGTCCAGTGGTGGAGCGCGAAAAGTGATCTCCTACATGTAAGCTTCAAATTGAGTAAATTCTTGGCACAGATCCATGAAAGGAGAATGCACCTGAAGGGTCAAGAGAGCCTCAGGGTGACTGGGGCAAAGCTATTACGTTGGGAAGGGCAGGGAATGGGGTGAGATGAGACGGGATGCATCGTTTCTGTCTCTGTTCCGTCTCTGTGCATTTATTGAGCAACTACTATATTCAAGACCTGCTTGAGGTACTTTGGCTACAGAGAGGCATGAAAGATCATCTCAGCTCCCCCAGCACGTGGATCCCATTCGACTGTTGGGAAGAATTCGATGCCAAGGAGTTCTGGGGGAGGGGCTGAAATAACCCCAGGGCTGTCCAGGCTGGTTACTTGAACATTGGACCTATCTTTACTTTGATGTGTTGACTGTTCAAACTGTCTTTTTTGAAAACTGCAAAGAAACTAGAACCATTTATCTCTTGTAAATATTCCTGGCCTGTGATAATAAAACTCTTGAGATGTTTCTGTATCGAGTTCTGGTTTGAAAACCCTCATGAGATACAGGTTGTATCAAACAGTTCACAGTCTAGATGCCCCGCCCAAGCTATGTTCTAGAACCAGCATTTGGGAAACATGAACCTCATGAACTCTGCCCTTTTGGTACAGAAAGTGGAGGGATGGTTATATAACTTAGCCCCAGGATGTTGCAGGAGCATTGAACATGGAATTCTCAAAAAGTGCAGTTTGAAGGCTGTAGAGATTCAGGCAGCAGCTGATGTTTCTGCAGACACTGTGCAAACTGTTACCTTCCAGGGACCATGTGAACCTCTGGGGATCCAGAGATGAGAAACACTTAGTCCATTTCCTTCCGGAGCTGAGGACTCCAATGGAGGCAGGTAAGCACCTGAAAAACAGGTGCACACGTGCCTCCTCTGAAATCTCTGCGTGTACAGTCCGTGGGATTCTCCAGGCCAAAATACTGGAGTGGGTAGCCGTTCCCTTCCCCAGGGGATCTCAACCCAGGGATGGAACCCAGGTCTCCCGCATTGCAGGCGTATTCTTTACCAGCTGAGCTACCAGGGAGACCCCGTGACTCCACACGGGTTCATTTTCTGTTTATGGATCCATTCTAGTTTCTTCCCTGGTGGCTCAGATGGTAAGGAATCTGCCTGCAATGCAGGAAACCTGGATCTGCTCCCTGGGTCAGGAACAGGAGAAGGAATGGCTACCTACTGCAATATTCTTGTCTGGAGAATCCCATGGACAGAGAAGCCTGGTGGGCTACAGTCTATAGCGTTGCAGAGTCGGACACGACAGAGCATCTGACGCTTTCACTTCTAGTTTCTTCAGCTTCTCTTTCCTCTGTTCTCTGCCCCACCTCTCGCCCTCCAGAAGCCGGGGGAGGTCCGGAGGCCTTGGCTGGGCAGCTCCAGGCTAGAGGCACTGGCTTGTGCTGGCTCCCTGTCTGCAGGGTAGTGTGGGGACACCCACAGCACAGCCCTCTTTCTGACTGTATCGCAATGTCATCTTTGGGGTTGCGAGGGGAGTACTGACATTTCAGGGCTTCCCAGGTGGGGTTAGTGGTAAAGAACCTGCCTGCCAGTGCAGGAGATGTAAGAATGAGGGGTTCAATCCCTGGGTAAGGAAGATCCCCTGGAGGAGGGCATGGTAACCCACCCCAGTATCCTTATCTGCGGAATCCCACAGACAGTGGAGCCTGGTGGGCTACAGTCCATGGGATCCCAAAGAGCTGGACACGCCTGAAGAGACTTGGCACACACAGGCCATTTGGCATTTCAGAAGTAAAGCCTCAAAGTGTTAAGGGAACTTTGGAAAGCTGACAGTGTCATGACCCAGAGGGCATCACCTGTTACAGCTCAGTCCACAAAGGTCCAGGAAGGAGAGAGCTGCTGCTTTGGCGGGTTGGATCACTTCCTCACCATTTACACCTGATTCCAAGAAACTTCCCTAAATGATCACGTAATTGTTGATACACTCTCTGCCTTTGTGACACACGAGGGGCCCTCTTTCCTCTTCCTTTAATGTGCCTTCTGCTTTTTCATTGATCTGTTTAGTGCACCATGGGAGGACCTTGCAGGTACCCGGCAGATGTCAAGCTCAGCTGCCAAATAAAGTCCAGACGTACGGTGGTGCCACAGCTCCGTCCTTTGTTTGCTGGGGGCCCAACTCCTGGAGGTTGGCTTGGTCCCAGGGAGACCCAGGCCCCTCAGTATCTCATCCTGGACCACGGTCCATCCCTCGGAAACCCTTTCTCAGCATCAGCCACTACATCCTTGACATAAAAGATGACCAGGTGCATGAAGGTCTGTGGTCGCCCCACTCTCAAATAGCCCTGCTCTTCAAAGTAGAGGAGACTGGGGTTAGATAGTATGACATAAAAGAAAAGACAAACTAATTAGCTTGTCAAATTCTTCTCAGACAGCACGGATGCAATAATAGGTTTTTGCATAAGGACGGATGGTTTCTTGCTAACGCAGGGCTTTGCTTCCATTACTTTGATCTATTTTGTGTACTGATTTTTGCTCCAAAGGTATTTGTGAATTAGCACCGATTTCACAAAAGCTGTGAAAGACAGATCAAGGGACATTTTAACGGGACATTTTTAAACGCATCAAACTCCTCTTACACGTGCTTCCCTGGCAGCTCAGATGGTAAAGCGTCTGCCTGCAACGTGGGAGCCCCGGGTTCAGCCCCTGGGTGGGGAAGATCCCCTGGAGAAGGAAATGGCAACCCACTCCAGGACTGTAGCCTGGCGGGCTGCAGTCCACGGGGCCACAGAGAGTTGGACACGCCTGAGCGGCTTCACTTTCGCTTTTCACTCTTACGTGTGCCCGTGAAGCTGTACTTGTTACATAGCTGAGGTGTGATACCAGTTTTTCACCTGGGCGCTCAGTGGATATTAAACACAAAACTGTGAATTATTTTTAGTAAAAGTACTTAAAAAGACTTTATTAAATTTTTAAAAGCACATTTCAGCCTGTTTGAATATTTTGATGTAGAATTCTATTATTCACTAATTTATGGCTTGTACTTTCCTGGACTGTTAGAAAGAAGATGGAAAAATCCTCAAAAATTCATGCAGTACAAATAATCCTCAAATGAATTTTTAAGGGAACTGTTTTGACCATGAACAACTTTATTTCCATTTTTTATTTAATTTAAAATTTCCCTTCCATGAAACACTTCAAAGGACTACAGAAATATTTTGTAAATCCAGCTACCAATTTAAGGAAAAACTGCTATATAAATAAGTCATCTGTATGATTAAATAAAATTATTTTTATATTTGCTGCAATAATAATGACTCATCCCATTCAACCACATTGTAGTATTTGATCATGGTATATAGAACTCATAGTTTATTTTCAAATCTATGAATTACTTTAAGAATTTTATTTGTAATTTTATTTATAAAATAAAATTAAAATTTATTTAAATTTTATATAAAATTTCTGTTGGTTCAGCAGTTTGATATTTTTCCAAATTGAAATAACAAAAATTGCCTAATAAAAGTCTAAAAACTACAAAGATCCAAGAAAGATTGCTTAGGGTGTTATTACTGTCAATAGAACACAAATTATGTAAGAAAATTCTTCATGATAGCATCAAAGCTAATTTTTTAAAAATAAAGGCAAGGAAAATTGTTATGAAAAGAATATGTCATAATTTAATAATTGTGTATGTAACTACTTCATCACTCATGCAAACATCTCCAGGCCATCAGCAGAATGTCTAGAACTAAGCATGTGGAATTTATTTTGTAATTATAAAGACACAGTTGTCAAGGTGAGGAGAGATTGCATTTTATTTAGCTGTTTATTGGTGTCTTAGTCCATTTGTGCTGGGGTACCAAAACATTTGATGTGAAGAGCCAACTCATTGGAAAAGACCCTGATGTCAGGAAAGACTGCAGGCAAAAGGAAACGGGGGCAACAGAGAGTGAGATGGTTAGATAGCATCACTGACGCAATGGCCGTGATTTGAGCAAACTCTGAGAGAGAGTGGAGGACAGAGGAGCATGGCAGGCTGCAGTCCACGGGTCTCAAGGAGCTGGACGCAGCTTAGCGACCAAACAGCAACAATGGGGGATGGGGATGTTTGAAGAGTCCATTGTCTGTTGACCTTCTCAATGAAGGATTGAATTCTGCTGTGGAAAGAACACTGGGCTTCCCAGCATGTTCACTGTAGCTTCTTGATTCTGAGGTCAGGGAAGTTTGCAGGCATTTGAGTACCCAGATTATCCAGGAAAGCATTCACCTAGACAGTTGTACTAGAGAAGGCGATGGCTACCCACTCCAGTATTCTTGCAGGGAGACTTCCATGGACAGAGGAGCCTGGCGCATTACAGTCCCTGGGGTCTCGAAGAATCAGACACTACTGAGTGAATCACACACACACACAGACAATTATAATCCACATAGAGATGGCGCCCAAACCCTGAGCATGTCATTTCATCTCCCCACATTCACAGTGAGAAGCCAGGTCGCCACAAACAAGGCAGACACAGGAATTAACCTCAGAAATTTGTCACTGGAAAATGTAGACTCATTGTTCTGTGCTTAGCCATGTCCGACTCTTTGCAACCCGTGGACTGTAGCCTGCCAGGCTCCTCTGTCCATGGGGATTCTCCAAGCAGGAATACTGGAGCGGGTTGCCAGGCCCTCCTCCAGGGGATCTTCCCCACCCAGGGATCAAACCCAGGCCTCCTGCATTGCAGGGGGATTCTTTCACTGTCTGAGCCAC